ATAAAAAAAGACTGATTTGAAAAAAAAACTGGAAAAAAGATGATTGTTTGACAATAGAGGCAAATATTTGATTGTACTCACAACATACAATATATCATCTGATTAAAATAGAGCGACTATTTGTAGTGGCAAAATATTATTTATATAGACGAAACGGAATATTTGTAAATGGTTTATTCAGCTTTATTGGATACTCTATTATAATAGCATCAACATAAGTGCGATTCTAAAAAAGTAAAACAATCCATGTGCTAAGTCGATCGATTGATCTAACAATGATAACATACATACGGTATGTCTTCTATCGCGCATAGAGCTGCCTTTTGTTAACTATATCGATTTTTCGATTTTATTCATCGTGTCAGATGAGCGGACGCTCCGTCCTTTTCCCCGCTGAGGCTACTTTTAATGAGCTATCCGACCAAAGTATGTTAGAAAGGCGATAGCTCGATGCCTGCTATCAGCTGAGAGATTGAGACGCACCACTGCTAATTTTCCTCCATCATGCCGTCAGCAACGAAACACATCTCGACAAATTCGTACTCTTATTGATCCAGTTCTATTACACTGCGCCAAATACCCTATACTTTACGTGACGTTAGCATTGTGCGTCTGTACTATATGCTTTGCCCACATCAAATATAGTGTACGACGCCTATACATTTAGAGCCATAGGCGCCTGCTGTCAGCGACAAGCAAATGCTTGTAATCCAGAAGTTGTTTATTTTTTGTTATAACAGATTAACGGCACTTTTTCACCCGGCAACGAATCGCCGCAGAAATGCGTAAGAAAACAGTTCATTTTGACGATAGCGCTCGCGGATCTCTACGGCCAACTCTGTCTCTTCAGCGAACGGAAACAACGAACATACAATTATAAATGGCAATCAAACAAAATTAGCTAATGGCTAAAAATGATGTAGACCGGCATCTCTGCATAAAGGGCTTGCGGTCCGACAATGTGATTTTGCCATGAATTTTATTTGATGTGGAACACCCAGCAGACGATGTCTAGATAACCATCGGTTACTATCATGCATATGTTTCATGAGGTAAACCCATATCCCTGTTTGTGTTAATGCTAGCCACACGATTGCTAAACCTCGCTTAGGTCCTCCATACATACATCGCTCGGTATATTAAACTTTCAAGGCCAACTGTACAGCTCTAAAGCGATATACCTTTAGCAATTTTTAACGTTTAAAAGATGGCGCTAAGAAACCTGACAAACGATGTGATCCAATTGCTAGCATAAGTATCCTGTGGTACCGCTGCTTGTAGCGATGACTCGTGCAACTCTTTAGTAAAGTACGCTTCTCATGCAATTTTACACTTGTCTTAGCTACGAGTGGCTTTTGTTATCGCACATCAGTTATTTTTTCATGATTTCTAGAATATTTACTGTTTCCTGCCATTGCCAAACCCTTAATTTTACGAATCTTCCATACGTTATCTATAAGAATAAACTATAGTGCACGATTACGCCCACAACCGCTGATACCGAACGCCGAAACCGCAGTATACCAGTCATTTGTTAGCAGTGTCAAAATGTTCGCCGGTACCTTCATCGACAGTTTGAAGATGTCTCTCGTTTATGCTACCAAATTATCCCTAATATTTAAAACTATTAAACTGTAAT